CTCTCTCTCCTCTCTCTCTCTCTCTCTCTCTCTCTTTCTCTTCCTCTCCTCACGTTAATAAATATTCTATTTCGAGAAAAAGCCTTAAGAGAAATGTTAAAAATATGGTCGAGAGCGCAATAATTCAAAGAATTTGACGCAGTACAAAGCGAAAAGTCACTGATGCAAAATGACAGTTTATAATAACGTCAAGTACTTGAGACGAATATATATTCGTTATTTTTTGGACTTTGTCATGCATCGTAATTCGGTTGCATACCTCCTCTTTCGCGGCGATTACATTATCGGGATCGTGCCTCGTGCGATCCTCTTGTGTCATCTAAAGGAAAGTTCCTTAATTCAGCTCGAATCATATAACAGCAATATTGCAACATCATGGAAAAATTATGCAGCTTATCGAATAACGCTCGATGCAGTGCTGTAAGAGTTCTTTCTGAGATTTTTCAACCTCTCCCAATATAACATGGCCTTTCGCTCTCGTATTACTAATTACATTTTTTTCGCGATATTATTTACTATTTAACTAGAGACGCGCGATGGAACCAATAAAGGCAATATGTATCTTATCTCTTTTCAGAGCAAATGTAAAACAAAAATGAGAATAACTCAAATAAATTGATATGTTATACATTTATGATATTTTTTTTTAAAGACAATCATTCAGCGAATTTATGTACTATTCGTGTGTTAATAACTTTCTGAATGTGTGTGTGTATATGTATAATATATTCTTTGTTCAATATATATTTGAAATAAATTTATAATTGAATCAAACGAGTTAAAAGTTAATGTGTTTTTAAATTTATTGAATCGTTATTTTTAAATTCATTGAATCGTCTATCGACTTTCGCGATTTCGTTACCAATAAGGGCAATATGAAACGCGATTCCATTCAATGTTACAGCAACAGTGACACGAACTGGCATTGTGCCGGTTATCGTTACCGGCACGATTTGCGCCCGTAATCATGGCACAGATCAGTCTGCACCATCGGTCTGGGTTAAGGCGAATGAGAATCACTGTTGACCCGGTCAGATTTTTATCAGACATTAACACTAGCAACACCAACCGAACAGCAGGGAATCGCGCGAGCTTTTCTACAAGATAATCGCGAGCAAGAAAATGTCGTAACGGTAATTTTCCAAGCTGCTTTCCTATGCGATCAAAGATAAATCATAATACGGAAGAGCGCCGTCGAAATGTTTTTCAAACGTCGGAAAGATAATCATATATTTTGTTCCGCTTAATGGATAATTCGCTCGTCTGGGAAATTAGATTAGAATCATATAAAGATCCATATTGTGGAGAAATTCCATATCTTGTCTATACGATCAGAAGGATGTTGAGGTATTAGAATGGAGTAAAAATCGGCGATCCCAATATATAGATCCCTAGAATAAATCGCCAACTCCTATGTATATTATGTACATTAAAAAGTACATTACAGAGTAATTTATTGCACGTCACTTTCACTACTCTCAACTTTCTTACCTATCAGCTATAATTATACGATATAACAGTAAATCTATTAAATTTCTTTTTTTTATATTAAGCTAAAAACTGTGTTTATTACGTGTCTGTCTGTCCATGGCTCTAGAAATCCTCGAGAGATTCGTTTCATAGATTGTCTCTCTATTGAAATCTTTGATATTACATACCTAGAGCTCCAGAATAATCATTAAATAATAGGTTATTAATTCTGAGAAAGTTAGATATATTTTTATATGATTATTTTGTTGCGGTACATGTTATGAAACAAAACTTCGAAATCAATTTTCACGCATATGCAGATCGACGAGGTATGTTCTATTAAAAGACTGTCTGTAGCAAAAATAACAGAGCATCGAGTACTATTCCATCGTAATTCGTGTTCATCTAATTTCGCTTGCTATTCAACAACATATCTGCCAATCATTTTCAGTCATGTTCGGTACATTGGAAATTTTTTAGGAGCTCTTGACGTCAACTGGCTAACGAAGATGGAATTCTGAACTTGTGCTTTCTTATAGCTATGATTATCGGTGACCGATCCAATTTCTACTTTTTATCAAAGTTATTGACTTAATAAGTTATTGTCATAAGTTATTGACTTTCGCATAATTTTGTATATCTCGTATGTGAGATAATAAAACAAATGAAGGCGTTTCAAAAATGATTCTCTTGGACTATTTCTTATTACTATATTTTTCTTTGATTATATCTTTCTTAGATTATTATATCTTTCTTATATTATATCTCAATTAATAAAAACAAATAAATTATCTTATTATATACATTATCTTTTCCAGAAAAATAAAGTCAAATCCATCGCGATCGTCCAAAAACTGACATATTTATTTTCTTTAGATTACTTTATTAGATTTATTTTCATAAGACATACATTTTTGTTATACTGCAAACAGACATTTTTGTTATATATTTGAAATTCAAGAGATTAAGCTTATTATGAATTTCATTAATTAATTTAAACATTACAGTTAATTAGTTAATTAGTATTAGTTTAATTAAAATCTCTGATATTTTCAACGGAAGATTTGTATATAAATACATAATTCGTGATTTGGCATGAGACACTATTGTATGTCTCTTGATTGAATGCATGAAAAGGTTACATTGTTGATGATGACATCAGTTGGATACAAACGCCATGTAAAGAACCGTGTGAATCATACACCTTCTTTAAATACAAACGTCATACACATTACGGAGTCATTAAATGTCATTTGATTTGTGGAAAATACTGTGCTTTGCGTATCTGCACTTTATCGATTTTTAAAAGTCGATAACTGCATGGCATGCATTCTGTATATACAAGTGAATCCGAAAGAAAGTTAATTATTTTCAGTAGAAATGATACATAAACATAATAAAGAAGTGCATATTCACAGTGTGTGTGTGTGTGTGTGTGTGTGTGTGTGTGTGTGTGTGTGTGTGTGTAATAACATCGTTGGAAACAATAAATATACTATACTAAAACTATACTATAACTAAAATAGTTTTAATATAAACTCTTTCTTCTCTCTTTCATCACGATAAAACAAAGAAAAAATAAAATATTCAATCATTACATTAATCTCTAAATATTATTAGATTCTTTATCTTAAATTTTATTATATTTATATATATACATACATGTAATAAAATTTATATAATAAATATACAATAAATTTTAAATAAAATTAACAATTTTGCAAACAATATTCTTCAAATATTTTTCACGAATTAAAAATAGATTTCAAGAATTGCTATTAAAAATAACGTATAAAATTATTTTTAAAAAAATTTATTCGATCTAGTCGTAAATTTTTAATCAATAGTAATATCGCACGGGTATTTCTGCAGTTACAACTTGATACTAAAATAAACCATAAAAATTCCATGAAGAACCCAGATATCGAAAGTGGCTACTGCAGCCATTGCGAGGCAAAGGTCGGCAGCTACGATCTCGAACGAAATATATTACGTAAGTTAACATAAATTCAAACTTTCTAAACAGGAGTCGCGCGCGATACCGCCTTTAGAATATGATCTTGATCTCATTCACAGAAATCTGTCGACCGTAATGACGATAAATATAATATCTATTTCTAGTGAAATGACAGAATATAATATCGATTTAGAATGAAAACCAAAATTAGTAAGAATTTTTTGCTTTTTTTTCTTTTCGCCAATCTTATTCACGATTGTGTATATCGAAATTTTTTTTAAATATTTATACATGTATCGATCATATATTATTTTGAAATATACCTTCTTGAAGTGAATTGCCGAAAATAATGATGTTACGCGATGTTGTTAGACACAACGATACTGATTCAACCAACGGAACCTTCCGCTTTTTATTTTCGTATCAAGCAAAAAAAATAGCTAGAGAAACGTCAATCGGTTCGCTGCGTCAAGCACTAAGCGCGTTATAATGGGAAGTTGATTATTCAAATGTTAACTTTTAAAATTATATAAAAAAATTATATAAGTTAGTACCGACATATATAAATATAAATTAATAGTAACAAATAATTCATCATGATAAAAGAATATAAATTTTAATCTATTGTATTCTGGAACTTTGTTATTATTTTTTTCAATTATATGTATGTATATGCGTGTAATTAAGTTATTATTATACATGTTAATATATTATTAACAAATTTTGCATAAAATTAAATTGAAAAAATTGCAATTATCTGTTTAAAAATTTATGTTACCAATATATCAAATTAACATTTTAAAATAACATTTTGAAATATTCGAAATGGCTGATTCTATATATTTAAAAAAATTCTATATATTTCTATATATTTAATAAATAATAAAAATAAATATATTCTTAATATCACAACGGGACTTTGCTTTATCGTAATTCTTATGAGATATAGAAAAAGAAAGAAAAAACAGAGAGAAAAAAATTTCGTTATTCGTTGGGAAGTCCTGCCAACAAGATGTAGCACCTAATGACATTGCGGTTTGCATTTACGTAGCTAGACAAGGAAATTTACAACTCCTATTCGTCTCGATAGTGGAAAAAAAATGACACGATAGCAAGATTTAAAAATGTGTAAAAAGATTTAAAAATATGTTTAAGAATAAAAATGCACAAACTTCAAAATACCCTATAAGACACAATATTCCTAAAATATTGTATAAATATTATTAACAGTTAATAACATTTATACAATATCTTAGGAATATTGTGTGCTTATAGGACAATTCCTAAGATTTGTGACATATATATATATATATATATATATATATATATATATATATATTGTGTATAAAAAATTACTATTATAAAAAATATATGTACATGCATGATATTATACATGATATTAAATGAATTAAAGAGAATAATTGCAAATGATAAATTTAATCGATAAGATCCGAAATCTTAATAAGAGGTGATTTACACAGGACGTCCCACTCTGAGAGAGCGAGTACTGATGATAGACCAGTCCGCCGAGAGTGCAAAGCCGAGGTTAAAGCAATACAAGATAAATACTCACCGTAAAAATATCCCCGATTCGGCGCAGCCTCCTGTCTTGTTCTCCGTCTCCTCTCGACGATCCGCAGGTAAATTCAAGCCGGAGTCGCGCGCGCGGCACGCTCGCTCGTACGGTATAGCTGCGGAGAGTCGCCGCGGCTGGCCGTTGCCCCGAATGTCAAACGGCGCGAACAATGGCTCGTGATCGCCGACCGCATGTCAGAGATGCGTGACGCTCGAGACGGTCTTCTCGCGAGAGAGGGAAAGAGCGCGCTTGACAAAAATTGTCGGAAATATATCGCCGCCTGTGCGCGCTCTTCACACTGCAGCGATTGTTGCAACAACGACGCGTCCTCTTTCCCGAAAAACGCACGCGTCCGTACCACGCGACGCACCGTAATGGACTGAAGTGAGCGCTGAGCGCGTCGTCCACCGAACCGTCGTGGGTCGCAGCCGAGTACGCCCGATCGCCGCACGACCGGCAGCCGAGACTGGGTGAATGTGCGCGCGCGCGAAACGCGCGGGAGATCGTCTTTCTTTTTTTCTTCCCCTGTCGCGATAGTTTCTCTCACTCTTTCATTCTCTTTTTTTCTCTCTTCTCTGTTTCTATCTTCCCTGCACGTCTCTACGGGATGTTTGCCGCTGCCTAGCAACGGCGTCTCGGTGGAACTTTCGCTGGACCCCCTCTCGATCTTTAGATTATGATGGACTAGGTTTTTGCCCTTTGACTAAAATCTTATCTTAGGGGCGAGTCGTGTATAGGTAGATGTAAATAAACAGTGTACAAGAGCGCGTATATATCTCAAAATTCTCGTGACAGAAAATGGAGTGGTTTTTTTATTCGAGTAAAATAAAAGGGATGTATTTCGATAATGCTTCGTTAATTTTCGCTAATATTTAATTGTATTTTCTCGCGCGCGAGCAAAAGATTTTGCATAGGATCGAAAGATCGCGATGATCGCGATTTATTTATTTTTTGCCGCATACAATATAATCGTTTCCATTTTACCTTTCTGGAATCTTGCGATGACGTATCCTGTGCAAATAGCAATTTGTACATCGGTACAAATTGTCAGTCATATGAGTCGGCTCTAGCAAGGTGTGTTAACCGCAGAAGTTAATGAGCACCGCAAATATGTCGCGCGTAGTCAATTCGCGCGCGTGCAAAAGGCGATTTATAGAGAAGCACGTGATGCCAAGTGAATTCATAAAAAACAACTTACATGCTCTGCTGAATGTGCGACAGTCGGCGTATTTTAGGAATCGACCAGCTTCAACTGGTTATAAGCTATTTAAAGATATTTGTGACCACCAAGCGACCGCAAGTGTCAATCTATCTGCCATGACACATCGTAACATTTTGCATAAATTATAAAATTCTTCAGCGGAAAATTTCTATTGTATGTGTAAAATACGGTTGTTTATTCAGCGGATTCATCAGTGATGCACTCGAGGGATTATGATAAAGTAGATTAATACTTGCGCAAAGTAATTTACATCTTACAGAGCAATCCCTGACGTATAAGGCTCCTATTCTTTCGCTCCCCTAAGATTTCCATTCCATTCGACTCCATTTAGCTCGTGGCAGGTCAACACGCGCGTGTGTGCGTGTACACGTGTGTATCTGTGTGTGTGTTTGTGTACACTTGTATATCTGTGTGAATACGCTTCGTTGGATGGCCGTATTGTCTATGCAAAGCGAACGATATTTCAAATATCAGTCTGGCGCGTGTACTGATTATACCGACAATTTGTCTCAACTTCTCTTTTCCCGCACGTGTCACGTTTTCCAAGGCAAGGTCCTTAGAATTTTAAGAGCTACACATAATCACGGATCAATACTTGCATCTGCATACTCTCTCGCAATCACAAGGTCGACAAAGGATAAGTGTCGCATTGAGGCGATAAATTCTAAAAAGGAGCAATGAGATATCTTATAAGAATATATAATCTCTCTAATAGTAATTTTTGAGAAAAAATTTTTTCAATAAAAAGTAGCTTCTTTAAAACGTTATATTACAAGATTTATCGTCTCGTTTGAATTCGTCTCTTCGCCGTAGATTTATTTCTCCTCTAAAAATAATATATATCGTCAGTAATTATTCATCCCCCGCAATTCATCTTTTTTTGCGAAATCATTTACATCGTCTGTCCTTTAGTAAAATTAAATATAGACGGTTCCCTTAATTTGCCTTCACGAATATTGATTCTATCAGCGAATGCGAGCCGCGTGGGTGAAATATTTACGTTTGTTGGAAACGCGCGTGTTTGCTTCGCTGAGACAGGTGAAAGTGTCCGAGTTTCTTTCGCAATAATTCTAGAGTCGCGTGTCGGGCGACTCCGAGATCACGAAGATTTAGAAGAACACGCGATCTCGGTTGCGAGGAAAAAAATTACTTTTGTAAGTCGCGGTGAAATAACGTCGATGAAATCGAGCGAATTTGCCGTGCTCGTAAAGTTATCCTAGGGATGGAGAATTAATTGGCCGATAACGCGACACTTCGAGCGTTAACTAAATTCAAATGTAATTGCTCACCGTGCAAGCGGGATCGTTTAATAAGACAGATTACGCGCCGCGCACTGGCCATGTCAAATTTACTTCTCATTGTGTTCTATCGTTCGTCCCGCTTATCCATTTATGACATTCATACCGTACCTCGTTGTTACTTCAGCACGAACCGAAAATATATAACGAGTATTTGTTCGATGCTTGTTAAAAAAGGGCTTAGATCTAGTAAAAATATAAAGAGATCCAATTTCATATAATTGTAGGTATATCTTCTATTAAATTGTCTACTCTTTCTGTCTCTGTAATTTATGCTTTTAACTTTTTTTGTTAATTTTCATCAATCTATAATAAATAGATTTGATATGCCAATAAAATTATTGCATTGTACATATCTCCAATATAACATTCAATTAGAAAGTTATTTTTAATGATTGAATATATCTTTATCAAACACTAAGTATATTCTAAACAAACTCATCGAAATTTTTAACGATTGATGTAAGATATTGATGATTAATGATGAAGAAACACTTTCGGCCGTAATATCATATCATAATTCATTGCCTGAATCACTGATAAAAACTTTATTAAGATTAATTGATTATCTCGAAGATGGCTTTAGGAAAAATCGAAGAAATAATTTTATAAAACATGCAAAAATATATTGCGAAGTCTAATTTCGCGAAGTCAAATTTTAAATATAGGTGTATTTTAAATTGAGTGAGAGTAAAATTCAGATCAAATAATTGTTTAATCAAATTCGATAAAGCAATTCGCTCTTGTCTCAAACATAATTAAGAATGAATCTCGTTAGGTTCTTTAATATTTTTTGTTCCTGATCAAATTAATAAATCAGATGAAAAGTTTGATAAATGCAGCACGAACAGTAATAATATACACTCGATACTAATCGTTTATGTAATAATATAATATACGCTATATATAATATTATTAGCAACATGATATGTAATTTTAAATGGACAGATTCCAATCTTATATTACTTTTTTATGCGCTGTCGCGTTGATTGATTTCATATCTCTGCTGGATCTATATCCTCTCGATCTGACTCTGATGAAGCGATGTATTCATCGACGTCGTTCCAATCAATTTTCTGTTGAGTTTTTTCGCCAGTTTCCTCCTGTAAATTTGTTGCCTGCGACGTTTCTGATTTGCATCTTCAATTCTGTTCCGCTTGCTAAGAGGTTTTCTCAACAAATATTCTGCTGTTTTACTGGAATTTCTGTCCTTGGCATGAGATAGCTTGGCGGCTAATAGATTGTATAGCTTCTTGCTTACGATCCGATGTCGTGCTTTTGATCTGAGAACATCGGTGTCCGACGTTGCAACAGTATCGATGGCTCGCATCTTTGCCAACCGTCTCATCTGGCGTCGATGATGAGGATCCCGAATCTCGCATATGCCTCGTTTTCGAGACTCGAATTTCATAGTGACCGTTGGTACTTGTAACTTCGAACAATCATTCTGTTTTTGTTCGCATGACGAACTCTCCAGACTCGAGGGACACAACGTTATACATTCTGCGCTTTTTTCTTTATTGGGAACGCATTCGCAACTCTTGTCGGTCTTCGTTTCGCATTCCGAAGAGATCTCTGGAGAATTCTCCCTGCAGCGCATCTTGGAACACTTGGCAGTGTGATTCTCTACTTTTTCGAAAATATCCTTGGGAGCACTATCTTCTTCATCGCAATCCTCCACCATGGAATCGCAGTTTGTCTCGCAGGACGATTCTGATATCTCAATGCTTTCGCTTTTGGATCTGCATCCTTCTAAACAAGATAATTTTGTGCAATCATCGCTTGCATAACGTTTTATAATATTAATCTCAAGATTCTTTTTTATAGAATTGTTTAAAAGATATATTAATATTAATGTGTGCGTGTGCGTGTGTGTATGAATATATGCATCACTCAATAAAAAATTTATTTTTTTAAAAATATTTTTGAATTGAAATATCATTGGAATAAAAACATTAAAAATAAGAAATCGCAATCATTTTTCTATGATAACGATATATGACATATGAAAATTTATCTCGTATTATTATTGCGAGCTGCGTTAAATTATTTTACTTACCTTTTGTAATTGGTGTTTCATTCATTTCCGTCGTCGAAGTCACTGTCGTCTCGGTGATGACAAAATCCTGACTAGTTGTTGCCGCTTTAGGAGATGTTGTTTGAGTAAATTCGAGAGTAGCCTGTGTCGTTGTCTCTTCGCTAATTTCCTCTGAACTTTTCTTATTAGAGCATTCATTAGATTCGCAAAAGTTCGAGGTAGATGTTATAACAGATATTGAACTCTCCGTAATTTCATTGTCATAAAAATTATTAATATTTTTCATCGAATGCTCAAATTCAATTGCTATGTTAGCGATTGGTAGCTCTGTAGTCCTTGCTGATGGAGTAGTCGTTGTAGATAATATAGAAGTAGTGGTCATTGTGGGTAATGTGGTGGTAGTTGTTGTAGGGGTAGTTGTTGTAGGCGTTTCTGTAGTGGTCGTTGTGGGTAATGCAGTGGTTGTTTTAGATAATATTGTAGTGGTAGGCAATGTTGTTATACTCGGTAACGTTGTTGTAATTATTTTAGGTAATATTGTAGTCGTTGTAGGCAATGTAGTAGTCGTTGTAGATAACGTTGTAGTTGTCGTAGGTGATGGTGTAGTTGTCACAGCTGTGGTACTCGTTGTAGTCCTAGTTGTCTCTTCTTGAATCGTCAATGTATCCATTGTTACCGTTGAAATAGGCTCTGTATATTCAATTGTTTTCAAAGTAGTCGTCATCGTCGTGTTTACAAACTCTGTACTCTCTTCCGAAGATATTTCGAGCTTTGTTGAAACTTCAGTAGATTCTTCAGATATTTCATTAAACTCCGTAGTTTCTTCAGATTCAGAACTTTCTGTTGCATCTTTGCTTATGTTTGCCGGCTGCATGGAAAAACGCGTTTTCGATATTTTAAAAGGAATATCAATCGTACGTCTCGGTGTTTCTTGTGTCATGTATACGCACATATTACTTATTTTAAGGAAATCCTCGATGAGCTCCTTGATTTCGAAACTCACATATTTGCAATACAAAATCGATTTTAGACCTATTTGCAGACAAGCTCGTGGAGCGTTGCAGAGGATCTCAACGGGGATATCTTTCATATCCCACAGATATTTTTTAATGTTGTCGATCTTCTGCATCATGCCGTCATAGCGCGGCACTTGACGTAGATTTTCGTAGGCATCAAACAGCTCTAGCAACTCATCGAGACTCTCGATCATGCGATGGCTGCGCCAAAATCTCGCATGTATTCGCAAAGATATTGCAATGCTTTTAGCGAAATCGATATCCTTCAGCTGTCCGGTGATCTCCATCAACAGTTGAGCCGGTGTAACCTGCTGATATTTTTGCACCTTGAGATATTTCTCCACTACGTTAAATTCGTTTAATTTCTTTACCAGATATTTCTTAGCCTCGATGACATCGTTGTCGAGTAAATCGTCGGGCAACACAAGATCAAAGAGATACTTGATATGAATTGTTCGGTTCTCGTAAACATTACCAAGTAGATAAATATTCTCATTGATCATGCCGACATCATCGACGATACGTTTCTTAATTAGAAACGCGTGTCTCTTCAAATCTTCGTCCAAAAATCTTTCAGCGTATATACTGACATAATATTTGAGAAAGGAATTCACAGTATGGAATTTCTTTAACTCTATTGCCGATATCAGGATTTGTAAGTTAGTCTGTGTAATCTTATGAAAAGATTGTACGAGCTCTCTTTCGGCGAGGCGCACGTCATCATCGAAATTATTGTATTGTACGTTGTAAAGAAGTCCGGATAATAGATCGGGCGTGATTATCAGCACTTCCTTCTGTAGAAATTTTAATAACGCCGTCAAGGAAAATCCTCCGAGATATTGCCTCGATATCTTGGATAAATATGCTAAGTATGTAATATCCAAAGCCGACGTGCTAAGATCATCAGGATACGGAATATCGTGCCGTTTTTTGATCTTGCGACATATGTTAGCGCTACTCTTCAGGCAAGGCTCTGCATAGGTGTAAATTTCGGCGCAAATCTTTGACGGTCTTGTGTCCGGATTCCTCAGAATAGCGGGGACCAAGTTGAATATATCGTATCGTCGCTCGAAAATCGCTTGATAGACTTTGTGTAATGCCTTTACTTCTTTTATACTGAAGTCATCGTAATAGATGTATAAGAGACTGCCGAAGGTGTCAAGGATTCGCATTCGCAGAAGTGCACCAAAGTACAACAAGCGCTCCGTGCCCTCTTGCAATGTATAATTCGTTTTCGGTGCGACAAGATTCAATTGCTCGAGAAGATCATGGTTCGTTAAGATTATGTTGCTGTTGAGTTTCGTTGATGTTATGTCGTGTCTATGAACTTCATAGTTGATCGCCTAGAGAAATTGTTGAGAAATGAATTTCTATCCTGAAACACTAAGATAGATTGTCGAAACTACCTCTTCCCTTTTTTATGTGTTAATATATTTTCTAATTCTATTTAATAAACTAAATTAATTCTTATTAATATAATTAAATAAATTAAAATTGCGTTACTAATAACTATTCAGTAATATTTGTTTTTTTTAAATTTTTATATAATATATATCTTATTTTTTTAGTTTTTATTTTAAACTGTAATTTTATTTTTATTTATATGTATACGTTTTTTCAATATTTTTTATGTTATTGCATGTAGAAATAAATTATATTGTATACGGAAACATTGTATATAGAAATTAAAAATATGTGGAAGTAGGCCTTACTTTTCAAAAGAAAAAAAGATTTGAAGAGATTGGGAGCTAACTTAAAAAATCGAGTTTATAATCAATGTTTCATTTAATCGATTAATCGATTAATCAAGCAAAAACTATAACGCCACTTACAGTGTGATTAACTAGTAATGTCAATTAATTTTCTAAATTTCATAGCCATTTGTGTTTTTTTTATTTTCTCTATTATTGCGAGAGTCACGAAAAATTTAATGATCTATGTCAAATATCGTTGTTAACTGCTCGATAACACGTCGCAATAATGGCGACGACAAGGCGAATATTAGTAATACTGTTATTCATTTCGAAATTGATGTCATTGACAGTTGATGTTTGTAATTTGACAGATAATAACTCATAATAAATCATGAAAAATACATATAATTCTTTGTTTCCTCTTATCAACTTGAAATTAGATTATCACAAAATTGTTTATAATATTTGAAATGATTTGTTTTAAACATTAAGACTATGCATTAAATACAATATGTGTTAATATGTTAATATGTCTTAAAAGCTTCTAATTATTAAAATATTTATTTTTATTAATTAACTAATTAATATAAAAAAATTTTTTAATCCAAAAGCTTAAAAAATTATAATTCTTTATATTCATAAAAATAAATAACTGAAATATATTAAAAATATATCTCTCTTATTATTATCTCCGGTCATTATTTCTCTCTTTTTTCTTTTTTTCTCTTTCTTCCTCTCTCTTTTTTTAAATTTTTAACTTGTTTCAATAAGATTAAATCCCTGTCTCACCTGCACGGATAACACAAACAGCATGATCAAAGTGCATCCGATTCCCCGTGTTATAAATTGAGATGACATTGTCAGTGCCATAACTCACATAAGTCACTCGCGAGACGATACAGTTCGCTCCGACACAATGCAAACCGATCAAACTGTCGCGTAGCTTATATAAGGTGTACATACATGAATGTCTTTACGATATGCATACACGTGGTGAGGACGTATGTAGTAGTGTTGTATGCAGAATCGAGTGTATCGATGGGATTGAAATTAATTATATGAGCACGTTATCGCGGCAATACGTTGCGCCACCCTAAAAACCTCGAATTCCGTATTTCCCATACTTATCTCATGATCTGATGCTTTTTTCTCATAATCGATAGTTGTATTTTAATTACATAATTACATAATTAATTGCATATCTTACTTTCTAACTTGTAATTCAATACTAATACAATACATTATTATAATTGCTTCACAAAGCTTTTCAAAATTTGGAAGTTTCCGAAAAAATATTTTTATTTATATATTGTTTAATTCTTCTAAATTTATTAATGCAGCCTGTTGCCTTTTTTGAAAATTAAAATATAATTAAAATTAACTTGAATCATTTCAATAAGATAAATATTACAGCTTGCGAACGCAAGCGCACTATACAAGCTTTATCTAAAATACTCACCACCTCAATGGTCGGAGTTTGCGCAGTTTGTATCTTAATATGGATTCCCCGAGTATAATGCATGTTTCATGCTAAGGGTGCAGCAATTTTAACGGAATTTCGCGTCCGAGAGTATTCGCGAACGATCGTTCGCCTCGTTGCGACGATAATTTCCGTTTCACGGCTGGGTATAACCCATTGTCATATAGCTAGAACTTAGTATAATGTCTGAGGACTATCAACACGCTTGTGAGAGGGCAGAATTATTGGGCTTGTCGATGCCAAGCGAGGAGGAGTGGAGACAGGCACAAGCGGCGAAAAACGAAAATCGTGGCGACGATGACGACGATGGTGCATTACAGGTAATCATATTATTTAAAATTATGACTAAAAATTCATAAAATATAAGCTAAAAATGTCCAGAAGAAACGCAGAATAATAAATTTTTACTGATTAATCGACATCCATCAACGTTAATCTATTTCTTATTAATTACAAATTAATAAAAATTTGAAATTGAATATTGCACCAAATAAATAAATAAATAAACATTAAAATGTCAAAAGCGATTTGAACAATATGCATATTGCGTATGGTGCAATTTCTTTTCTCTTATTCATCCATTCCTTTATGTATCTAAAAACGAACGCATTTATGTCAATATCGTGTTCGCGATAGTAATTACGCGACAGAATCGAGTTGCGCGTCCACGTGCAAGCCAGATTGTCAGGAATAAATCGCTGACGTCGAATCACGAGTTCATTAACGCCTACGTTTGCATGTCACGGTATAATTCCTCTTACGACGACTTTTATCTCAGGATTTGGATTACGCAGACGAGAAGGCCGGACGCATCGGCGGCGGGCTGGATGAGCTGAACAGCATTTTGAGCACCACGCAGAAGAAGCTCAATAGATTCAAGGTGACTTAGCAAAATAATAATTAATTCGAGCGAACATAAGCGAAATGAGCGCGCGGGCCTGCTCATTTCGCTCATGTTCGCTCGAATTAATTATTATTTTGTCATAACGATAGCGTGGAATTTTTACGACCGATATGATGGAATGCTTTATATTCTTACCCGGTCAAACTGATAACAAACTGATAACGCTTTTCTTTTCGCTACACTTTAATTTTATCGGTCGGTTAAACAAATTATTTCAAGCAGAAGTTGTAATAATGTAACTTACGCATTTATAATTATTATTGACAATTTATAATTAATATTATATACGCGGATATTTGTATACATCACGTAAAAACAGAATTCTTACCTAAAGTAAAATAAATTCTGTAGACAGTTTGCGGCAGTCTGGGAACATTGCTCAAAGTGAAGGTGGGCTCTCGTAGTGGCACACCGCATCACAAGCCCGAAGAGCCGACTCCCGACGATAGTCAAGAAGCCGGGAGCCAAAAGGAGCTCGGACCCGCAGCAGATGAAGTGATGATGGTGGAAACATCGGATGACACTGCGGATGTTGCAAATGATCCTGCGAACAGCGGCGTCCAGCCGAAACAAATCGATCTTAGTCAGAAAATGGGGTCTCACTTGGATAAGTTGGATTCTCTGATCATGAAGGCTGAAAACGCTCAATATAGTATGCAGCATCAGACGAAGCAAATGCGGAAGTTCCTGAAGTAATTGAAATCTACGAAAAATTGCTACATCGATTTATAATTAACGAAATAAATTATTAATTAACGGACCTCGGTTGGACGATAAATTCGTATAAGATATGATTATTAATTAAATTCTAATTCGCGTATCTTCCATTTTAAACGTACAGAAAATTTATATATAAATATATTTTACAAAAGGAGTTATTTGTGTACGGAGAAATTTCTCAAGAAATTTCTTGGCATAAATTTTAATTTTGTAGGAAAAGATGCTGTAATCCTATAAGAAAAGATAATAAGCGTCCACAATATACGTAAGAATTCGTATAGACTTACAATTGTTGAATTGCGTGTATAAAGTTTAATTGTTGCATCGTATATTGATATTTTTCTCGTGATATATTTTTGATCTCATGATTGTTATTGATTCTTTCATATATCGCGCGACGTACATGTCTTTGACGACGAAAGCCCAGTATTGTTACTATAATACATATATTATGAAATGTATATATACATGAATATTGTTGATAAATTTAGTATTGTTATGTAGACACAAATGTATTTCCGGCAATCAAGGCTTTGTGCTTAGATCTTTGACAATATCGACATATCAGGTGTAAAAAAATGCATGTTGGCGATGAACCGAGCCGGTGATAAACTTTCCTAATATGCAAATAATGTGATATTGTTTTACATCGATTTAGAGATATTATAATCTGCTACAAACCGTATATATTTTATCATCAAATATATAGTTTACGCTCTATTTTTCTAGATCTAAGTTTTAACGCCGCATAATAATAAGTAAATGGCGGATACATTTTATTATCGGATGATTTTGTCTTATATCGTCTGTATTTTTAAGTTAGCAATATATAATATATACATATATATACACGTACATATGTATATATATGTATGTATATACATATGTACGTGTATATATGTATAATTGCGGCTATTTGTAAGCCGATATATATTCGCCGTTCTTTTTACAATTCAAAATAATAAATTGTATTAAGTGCCTTGGTTTCAATTATTTTTTATGAGATACGGTAATTCACGATATGTGTAATCCTCTTTGGATGAAATCATTACATTTTTTTTCATTTTCAAATAAGAAAACGCAGTTTTTTACAAAAATTTTAATAAAATTTAATATTTATTTTATATTTTTAAAAGTAAGCGACACAGAGCTCCACATGACCATATTTTACGCGATACGCGATATGTTACTCTCAAATAATATTAATCCACAGAGAGTGAAAGCTTCTTATATATTGCACATTTAAATTCTTTCATTTTATGTATATGCAGAAATAATGTGAGAAATAATATAAAAATATACTACTATGTATAAAAAAAATAATAATATTATTCATATATAATGGCACTTCTAATAACGTTTTTAGTCGTACAAGCAATATTTTTTAAGCTATATTCGACTTTAAGCAAAGCGCGCGCGCGCGCGCACGCGACGCACGCATACATACATATATAAATATACACATATATTCCATCGCAATAACATATTATTGTCAATGTTGTTGCTGTTTATGATATTATTGTAATTTATTCTCTCGAAGAGATATCTGTGTAACATTATTTTGTAATTAAATTCTTGATGCTATCACCGAGATAAACCTTGCCTTGACGTTGATTCATTATTTAAATTTGCATGCTAAAATGTTGTAGAAAAGAACCTTGAACTAAATTTTGTATCTAAAATCGTACCTTTAACATTTTTCTGGAATAGCGCCGAGAGATGTCGGGAATTCTTTCTCTTATTCATTTAAATAGAAGATCTTTAAATAGGATATAAACGTGTCGCATCGTCTGTCAATATATACATAGATAATACGATTGATAAATAATTGAGATGCAAAAAACGTGCGAAAACATTTAACCTTTCGTCGAAGTTATTATCGTCGACGAGATGTTTATTGATTTATCGATCGCACAGCTTTGAACCTGTTTTAAATCTACTTTCCACATATGTATGTAAACTTCTCGTTCCGGAAAAATATTCATAAAAAGATGTTGAGTGTAGCCACACACAAGATATGATAACTAACGCGATAACAAACTAGGGAAATTTATAGCGAATTCGGTTACCTACTTAGTGCGTGCTAAAGGCTGCTATACATGAAGTTACCTAAATATAAAAATAATATAATACATTTTAGAGAGAATTAAAGTTATTAATAATATGATGCACTGTCACGTTATTTAGGGAAACCTGTATTAATTATATATATTTCATCATCAAGTATTTATATTATTCCATATTACATCAGGTGCTTCATATATAACAGCCTTTAAAATGCACTAGTACAGTATAGTGTGGACGATCGATTACGTTCGCAGATGATTCTTGTCCGAAAGCATGTCATTTCCTATCATCTGTGATGCATGTCACGCATGCATCATGTTGCATCAAATGATACTATAACCTTATTCCAGAAACCGATTCGGGAGTAATTGTCAATGGAATATAAATTGGGGCTCCCGTTTATTTATAAAGCCCAGTTTTAGAAAAATTTTAAACTTGACAATCTCCAATTATAAAAATCCAGACAAAATTATCATCTCAGTAAATTCAATCAATAAATCTTAACGTCATGATGAAGATACCGAGTGCGATAACGTTGCAAAATATAAAGTTAGATGAATTAAGACAAGAAATGGATATTTGCCTGCGATTGATTATATATAGGGATAACATGATTTTTAATGATATCATTGTCAGACTACAAGCTGTATTTAAATACAATATTGATGAATGGTTCAAAGGACCTGCAGGAGATAATGTTGAAAATACATATGTAGCAAAGCCAGTTTGTCTATGTGCAAAAGGACTCAATTCCTACCTTGTCTCAGCTTACACTGTAACGTTATCAAAATCATTTGTTTATCGTAAAAGTGCTATGAAAGTATTGAAAACATTTCTGCAAACACGTAACAATAACTTATTTGATATATATGAAGGATATTTACAAATAATATTTATAAGATTGAGGATGCCGAGAAAACAATTTTTAGATTACAACTGGCAAGTTTTATCAGTGATCTTGTAATACAACATTCAAATTATATAATAAGCTATAGTTTTTTTATATTTATATTTTCTTAGGAACAATAGATTAATGCAAATGGTTCTAGAAAGGCAAGAAACTGATTGCGCTATGTCTTGGTTGTCCACATTGGGAGGAGCATTTTCAGCATTGGGAGAAGAATTTGAACATTGTGTAAGTTGCAATTGGGCTTTTCATTTTGTCAAATTATATATACTATGATATAATTAATCTATAATATTTCTTTTGTATAGGCTAAAATGGCAGGTAAAATTTCAATGAGACAATTTGAATTGGCACTACGCCTTGACAATCCTCTCCTTATTGCTCGATGTAGATTATATTCTGCTTTAAGCTTAATTCAGCGTGGTTATTTCACTACTCCAAAATACATGATACAAAGAATTTATAAATTTGCGATTAAAGAGAAAGATGTACGTCTACAAAATATGTGTCAAGGTGTATGGGCCAAGTTACGACATAATTATAAACAATATAAACAAAAAAAATCTGTATCATTTAAAACTTTGTATATATCTTCAAAATTATAGGAAATTTAATCTTTGTATGTATGTTTTTAAGTATGTATGTTAATATATTATTTTGCAAGCACATAATTCTTTATAATTTATTGAACATTTTCTTCTTAATTTAAATAAATCTTATATTTATTTATAATTCAGGGCAGAAATAATAAATAATAATAAATTCAAAATAGCCTATTGAGCAAACATATTCAATCACTGGCAAGTCTTTATTATAAATTTGACATATCTATAACACACGCGCATATATATTTATAATTTTTCTATTGCTTTATGTGCAATTTGTGATGTAATTTAAAAATTAACATATTCAGAGATGCGTTGCTTCTATGCTACATCATACATTACTGCACTTATTTAAATAACGAAAATTTTTCACATTTTAAATATAATAATACATGAAATTGTTTGCAATTTATGTATTTATTTGGTTTTATATGAGGCTAATGTAGTTTATCGCATTGAAAAATGACAATCATTTAATACTTGTGTAATATTAACTTGTAATATATAAACTTATGTAATATTTACAAATATATATATATTACACAAATTTATATTGTAATCTGTAGGATTTAAAATTGATATATTAATATCTATATAAAATATGATATAATATAGCAAATTATGTTTAATAATATGTTTAAACAAATAAATTACACAAATGATCAGAAACTGTAATTTTATGCGCATGTAAAAAAATAATTATTTATAAATTCATAATTTGAAATGGTAACTCATACATTCAGTCTTGATAATTGAACTAAATATTGCTCTCATATACTGTAAAAAAAGATAGACTTGAAATTTATATAAATGACAAAGCCACTTATGTATACTACTACATTCTCTTGTAAGGTATAAAATATCTATATTTTTGTACACTCGCCGTATCCGGAATTTTTATTAAATATTTCATTTCTCATGTTTATGCCTTAAATCTTTTATCAGTAAAGTAAAACAGCTTGTCACTGTGTTTAATTAAATATACTTTAACATCAATGAGCGAGTGTGCCCATAGGATCCCAGGCAGGTAAAACAATAGGATCCTGATTGAATACAGCAAGCACGTCCTCAGGTACGTATTTTTTATCTACGACTGCCTCAAAAACAAATTCGCCAAACCATTCACGAGATACGACTTGATAACCTTTTTGCCCATGATCCTCACCCCATGAATTTTCTATCCGGAATTTCTTTATCTTACCATCTCTCTAAAATAGTATCCACGTGATAAATAACCTATTTAAAAAATTATTATTTATATTAAAAATTATTATTTACAAAAATACTTACATCTATTGAAACAGCTGTAAAAACCATTGCGTGCACCATCATGGAGTCTCCATAAACCAATCTATCAGCCTTAGAAAGTCCAAGATGAATATCTGTACCAAACATCAGCTCAAAATTATAAGTTTTTAAGTCATGAATACCATGCTTATCTATCAATCTTTTGTTAACATCGCAACCAAACCAGACAGGCTCATTATCTTTGATACTCTGTGCGCACAATTTCATCAGCAATTCCACTGGTTGATTATTGTAGCGAGTAATATTTCCATTTACGACATTTCCCAAGCAATCCACAGTATACAGTTTTCCATAAGGATTACACGGTCTCGGATCGGTCACTAAGCATACTTTATCATTCACATTGTAATATGGTTTCACATAGTTTTCATAAAATTCCAATGGCGTGATGGGTCCTATGCAATTATAATTCTTCGATTTATCATAGTATTCCCAAGTAATCTTTTCAGAAGGTATGCCCAAACAAATGCCAATTACTCGATAAAGCACGGTCATCTGCTCGTTTATCCGCGTTTTCAATTCTTCATCAGAAGCACCATTCTCAATCATACTCCGCAGAGCTTTGGCATACTCTCTTAGTTTACTTTTCAGTAAGCTATTCATGCGAACACTGGCTTCACAACTGTATGATTCTGGGAAACAGGTTTTAGGTACAACACCGTATCTAGTTATCAAGTTTACAATCATATCCCACTGACCACCGTCAGAAGTTGGGTCGGTCAATAAAAAGTTAACTAAACGACCTTCAACTGGTTCGTTACGTTTCGCGGTATTTACGATATTATGCAAAAAATAATTGCAACGTTCTACCTATAGGACAAATATTACATGTAATTTAACATGAAATAAATCAAGACTTGTACAATATTGTCTTGTAACACATACAAAAACATACCTTATCCCAAAAAAATAAGTAAGCCTGGCTAAACTCAAATTCGTCTAAATTATATTGTTTCATGAAGCTAGTCCTTATGACATTTAAGATGGCAAACAGCCAGCATCTTCCCGAATTTTTCTGGTTACTTATAGGCTTGCCTTCAGTCTCGATTTTATGGGTGAAAACATGATTGGTATCCTCCAAGATCTTCCTCGAGGAGCAAGCTTCAATAGGATTCGTTTTCGTACAGACATTTTGCGCCAACACATTACGGTCGTCGGCATAAAACTTTTCACGCAGCTGACTAAGAACCTCGTTGGACAGAGGACCTATTCAAAGAAAAGAAAAATTGTTAATTCTATACGTCTTGGCTCTATATAATTTTGCTCTATATAATCATCACAATTGCACGTTACGACAGACAAAAAACCTTTATTATATCTTGATCACGACCTTGAAGATTTGTTTACGCGAACATATTTTAAATATGTTGACGCAATCTTATAACGGCTAACAAATATACGGATAGGCTGATTTTAAAATTATTAATAGCGTCAGAGGGGTGTGGCTTATTCCGGAGCAAAAATTCGGGCATATTTGGAAAGGTTAAGGCTGGTCAGTTACACTCTTACATATCAGTTATCGCATCTAATCTAATTTTTTCTTTTTAAATAAGTTTTTCATATCAAATATTTCCCACAGTGAAAAATTCTTCGATGTATATGTAATATAATACGATAAATATAACTTACAAACAACCATTGTAATGGATGTAGTGAGCAATTCCGAACTCCAAGCAACTCGGGCGACGCCAAGAAGTTGTATGTATCACGCTACTCTTAAGCTATGTTCAAACTGCCGTTTATAGAAACGCACGTCGCCCTTGTGATCGATAGACAAAGTAAAATCTACAGGCTTTGTGTCTCGCTCGCTCTCCTTCGTGCTCTACATTAGAAGTTGTCGACTATACAATCCATTTTTTGTCCTAAATTTTTTTAAATTAGAGAGCTCTCTTAACTGTTTATTTCTTTCTCTTGTTTTCTTTTTTCTGACGAGACTTCATATAATTCGATATATGTAACGACATTCGAAGGACACAATCATCTTAAGCAACAAAATATAAATATAAATATATACATATATAAAATTAAAAATGTATAGATATATATCTTTTTTTTTATATCGTTAATTTATAATTCTTATTATTATTTAATTTAGGATTTCCCGGTTTCTTGTTCTTTATATTTTTTGTTTTCTTCATTCTTTTATAAATAAGGGTGATTTTATATAAAGTTACAAAATATATGTTAATAAAGTTCTTTTTCTATATATATTATATTTAAAAAGCATAATTAGATAATTTTATATATTAAATAATTTTAAATTTTTTTTATGTCAGTAAATTTCACTCAAACATAATTGGAAAGTAAATAATTGAAAGTGGGTATTTCCTATCTTTTATATAGAAGATTGTAACAGGATTTTGGAAGAAAATATGTACACATAATTTTATTGAATTTGATATTATAGAAACTAGTTTCAAAAGTTATCACAAAATTCACACTTAATCAAGTTTATCCATTTGCCAATTGTACTTAAAGCTGTAATATTGCCTAACAATTGTTATATGTTTAACTAACTAGTCGCTTACAATTATTTCATTCTGTTTTCTTTTGAAGAATCAGATTTCTACATTAGGTGTGGATGATTCTTCTGCTTTTGATTCTAGAGAAAATGGTGGTATTCTACAATCAAACGCGTATCCATCTTCCCTTTCCATCCTAAATGTTCCCCTATAAATAAAATTATTGAATAAATAATTAAGAAATAACATCTGCATATTCATAAAAATTAGTTAATCAGTGCTTACCACATATGACCACTTGGAGCTTGCAAACTCACATGACTACTATATTGAAAAGCAGGTAAAGCTTTTGACAACACAGGTTCTTGACCCACTACACCTCTTCCTCTAACAGTTTCTAATGTACCTGACAGACTAAATATTCTCCAATGCCTCTCACGCAATTGCACACTTAATTCACCTAAATTCTCTAGTCGGATACAATAACGCCACTATAATGTAAAAGTTAACATTTATCAATTACATCTATTCTGTATATACAATAACTGTAGCATTGTATTAACTTACCCAGTATACAGAAGTGGTTTGGCTCTCTCTACAACCCATATAAAATGGTATAACAGTAATTCGAACATTTTCAGTTGTTTCTTTATGTACATCTGATAATTCAAGCCATGGATGATTTTTTTTCTGCCATGCTCGAAGTGTTTCTTGTGCTACAAAACATGGTTCTTTACCCGGATGATAATTTAGAAATTTATCAAACAATTCATGTTGTAGTGCTGCTTTTTCATTTGTAGTATATGGCAATACATCTTCATGAGCAACATAATCTAATCCAGGAATAGCATATAAGCTGCGACTACTCTCATGATTGCCCAGGAAAGTTACTGCCTCTGTTTGGGCACGCTAAACAATATGCAAAAATGTTACACACAAAAATTAATCATCAAAAATTTTTTAATTTTACTTACTATATAAGGACAATCACGTTGATCAATTAAAACTTGATAAAATGTATGTGTTCTGCCTTTTACTTCTTTGTCGTCATTGTTCGTATTATTCTTTCTATACAAATAAATGCACAGATTATCTATATACAGTATATATATAAAAAAAAACAAATAAATATTTATTCATGCAATTATTAAATATTTGTACATACTCATCCTTTTTATTAGATATATCTCTGTCATATACTCTTGCCAGCCATGGAAACAGAATTACACCTCGATAACCAAAAACTCTGTGTAAAATCAATTGACCTGCCTCGTACTTTCCCTGTAATTTTGGTGTTTCCAGTTTACCGACTTCTGCCAATCTACGAAAATAATTATTGATATATTAATATATATTTAAATATTCTTTTCTTTCCTTACAATTTATAACAGTATATAATAATAACAATTTAAACCACTATAAAAATAGATGTTTCACTTTTACATAAATTATTTTAATTAATGGATCATGGAATAATTAAAATGAAATTTTATCTTTTCTTTAATAATCTTATATCTAAATATGAGTAGGTAAGTATATGGAAATCAGTTTATAATAGACTAAAATCTTATTTTGAAATAAATGTATTTACGATAATGATCATTATATAATGATATTTGTGATCATGATTATTCGAAATGCTTAATATAAGGTAAAAATAAATCTCTTGTTTTGATACCTGACGTATTGCGCATGTTGTACGCGTGTTGCAGGCGCCTTCAGGAGCGACCGTCTCAATTTATGGCTAATGAGATTTCGCATAAGTTCCATACTTGCCCGAGAAATATTGCTGATATCTGATGCTGTCGGAGAAATTTATATTGCTAGATGGAAAATTGCGAATAACTCTCGCTGCTGTATTAACATTTCTAATGATTTGTTCCAAGCATCTCGGAATATCAGAGGTTATACTGTTTATATATCTCAGATATATGTGTGTGTTGTGTAACACATACTGCGGAGAAATCGATTATGACGAAGAAAGAGTATATCGAACAGCCATTGCGCGTTGTATTTGAATTTAATTTTAATTAAAATTACAATTTGTTAATTTAATTAATAAAGAAATGTGTGTGAGAGACGTCAGTTATCCACGAAATAAGATTAACAAATTTTCCAAAATAGCTTATGGAACGCACCACATAGCGTGTAGCACATATACAGAGGAAGCTTTTATTCGCCGATGTTGAAAAAGAATAGAATGATGCTTGTGTCGACTTGTGTCACTAATAGAAAGTAGCCAATGCGATTCTGTACATTTGACGAAGGAAACGTTTCATTGGCTATTTTCAGTTAAACGAAAATGATATCGCGACTTGTGAAAACGCGCACCAAAGCTTCGATTTCGAGTACCAAACAACAGCAACTTCGCGCCATACGATCGCCGGGCGCCGACCAATAGAATTTGAGGAGTCAATTCAGACCGTGTTGTGTTCGAAAACCTATTTGTCAGATGCAGTAGCGTTACGATTGACCAATCGAGACAGAGAAATTGTCGCCTCTTTCACCCTGATTGGTCAATCAGATGTTGCTCCAGTTCGGCGAGTATAAATTTTCGAACGCAAGTTTGGTGATGTAGCGACGCATCGCATCTCCGTGGTCGGCAACTTCAGACGAACGAATTCGCGTCCTTTGACACGCTTAACCGCGTATTGAAACCGATTCCGCCACTGTTTCCCCGCTGACATTTTCAGTCGTTCTGACCATGCCAAGTGTTTCGAGAAAATCGCGCAAGTTATGTCGCAGGCGATGCATGCACACATAGTAAATTAAGAAGTCGAAAATTGGTGACTTGTTCGCCCGGACAGTGAACTTTCTGAGAGAAGCGATCTACTGTGCAGTGAGTTCCCCTCGTCGGATATATTTGCTTTATTGATATTTTGAGTGTCACAGGCCTATGCATATCTCCAGGTAATGTTTAATCGTATTAATAATACCGCTTATTTCATTTTCCGTCACAACATTTTCGTCTCCCGGAACTTCTCACAAATTTTGTTACGTTCGTTTCTTGTTTACGTCGTGGCTTGTATACGTGCACGGCGAATGCACATAACCTCGAAATCAAGTGGCTAACTTTTTTAATTTGGGAGCGTTCTGAAAAAAAAAAAAGAAAAAGATTTTTTCTAGCAATAGTACACCTGTTAATGTATTAATATGACATTGAATTTAATATGTATTTTTCTTTAATAATATTTTCACTCATATTTGTTAAATAAAGTGAACTTTTTTCTTAATATCTTGTATAAGATACATTAAAAGATGTATAAAGAATTGCACGATTTGAAAGATTGATAGTATTTGCACTAATTGTTGTAATATCTAATATTTAGTCTAATAGTTATTCATTGTTACATTGATTGATTCTTGTATTAAAATGCATAATTCCTTCTTTTGCCACAATTCTGTATTTAAAGTATTTTATCAAAATATACCTTACAGTAATATTTATAATACAGAGATATAACTTAAGATATATTATAAATAGTATATAAAAAAATTGTGCAAGGGCATGTAAAGAAAAATGCTATTTAAAATATAATGTAAAGTTTTTAATCTTATATAAATTTATATAAATTTTACCTGCTTTTTCCTTCAAATATTATGCATATATTATATTTTCTGAAACATAATTATATACTTTCAGAAGAACATACATATGAGATAAGATATTAGTATATATTATTTAATATAGGCCATACAAAAGAAACATAAAATCATTAAAAATATTAATTATATTTTAAATCTTTTTAATTATATATTGTATCAAAGGTTATATAAATATCACTATATTGCAGAATTTGGACCGTGTTTTAGAATACATTAAAAATAAAGTGCTTGTTACATTTGATTGGTTAACCAAGTAACCATCATGTCAGAAATAGTATACCCAGCAGGGTGCAGATCAGTTAGTGAAGATTTAGGCCCAGATGAATTAATCAGGAGACTCAAGGTATAATTATATTACATCTATTGCTGCTATAGTAAATAATATATATATATATATATATATATATATATATATTTATTTATATACAAAAAAATATTGTATTAAAATATAATAATTGTATAGACATTAGCCCATACATTACAAGCTATGGGACAAGATGAAGGAATGTACCAACAATATATTCCACTTGCGCTACATTTGGCAGAAGAGCACTTTCTAATGCATCAGAGTAAAGATGTACAATTATTAATTGCTTGTTGCATTGCAGACGTCTTAAGAGTTTATGCACCAGAGGCTCCTTACAAAGATGCTGATCAGGTAAAGATATACATTAATAGCAATATATCAAGAATAATTTTTATTATATTTATGTCAAGTAAATTAATGAATACTAATTATGCTGTATAAAGCAGTTTAACATTGTTGTTTTTAATATAAATTTTTAGGTCAAGACAATATTCCTATTTCTTATTAAACAACTGGCAGGTTTAAAAGATCCTAAAGATCCTGCTTTTAAGAGGTACTTCTACTTACTTGAAAATTTAGCTTATGTCAAATCATTTAATATGTGCTTTGAGTTGGAGGATTGCCAAGAAATTTTTTGCGCATTATTTTCTCTCATGTTCAGAATTGTAAAGTGAGTACATCTGAAAATGAAAAAAATAAAATAACTGTTAAATTTCTGCAACATAATGTAATAAATTTATTTAATGTGGTCAATGCAATCTGTTTTAGTGATGAACATTCTGGTAAAGTTAAAAGTTTTATGCTGGATGTTTTATGCCCACTTATTACTGAATCAGATATTGTCAGTAATGAACTTTTAGATATTATACTCATGAATATTGTAGAGCCAAACAAAACACAGAAAAAGAATGCATATTTGCTTGCTAAAGAGCTGGTGATTAAATGTAGTGATACATTAGAACCATACATTCAAGCAGTAAGTAATAAGAATATGAAAGATTTCTGTCACAAAAAACGAATGTACACATTAGAAACATGTAATATATTAAACATATGTTATGTGTTTTACAGTTTTTCAATCATGTCTTGATATTGGGTAAGGAGGAAAAAAGTTTGCAGATTTGCAAAAAGGTGTATGATCTAATTTATGAGTTGAATCATATATGCCCGAGTGTCTTGTTGTCCGTCCTCCCACAATTAGAATGCAAATTGAAATCTTCCTCCGAGACTGAAAGATTAGGTGCTGTAGCATTGCTAGCAAGAATGTTCTCGGAGAAGGGTTCGCAATTGGCTGTGCAGCATACACAATTGTGGAGAGCATTTTTAGGACGATTTAACGATATTAGCGTGTCCATTCGTATTAAATGTGTACAGTATTCAATGCATTTTTTGTTAAATCATCCTGAATTGAGGAAGGATATCACAGATACTTTGAAGTTAAGGCAACACGATGCTGATGAAAGTGTTCGTTACGAAGTCGTGATGGCTATTGTAACAACTGCCAGACGAGATTTCGAAGTCGTATCAGATAGTGAGGATTTATTGGAATTTGTCAAAGAAAGAACATTAGACAAAAAGGTAAAATATTAAATTCATGGAATTGAGTTTAAGTTTAGAAATTTCAAATGTTACAACTTATGACTTGAACTTACTAATGATTATATTTCTAGTTTAAAATACGAAAAGAGGCGATGTCTGGTTTAGCTATGATATACAAGAAACATCTAAATGATGCAGATGTGCCACAGGCAACAAAGAAAGCAGTTATTTGGATAAAAGATAAAATATTACATGGTTATTATATGGCAGGGATGGAAGACAGATTGTTAGTGGAAAGACTGCTAAATACATGTTTAGTACCTTATCAACTACCAGCTGAGGAAAGAATGAAAAAATTGTACCATCTCTTAGGTACAATTGATGATCATGCTTCTAAAGCTTTCGTGGAACTTCAAAAGCATCAGCTTGCGTATGTGTTATATATTAATTATTTCAAATTATATATAATTACAAAAACAGTTTTACATTTCAATACAAATGGATTATGTATATATTTAGTGTGCGAAGAGCAGTAGTTGAATGGATAGACATTGTGAAGAAAACGGATGCTAAAAACGAATTAGTAACAAAGATTCATCAGATATCACGCTTTTTGCCAGATCCTATGAAAGTGCAAGAATTTCTTCAAAAGTTTAGCAATCACATGAAAAAAGATCCTAGATTATTACAGGAAATGGAGACGATCGTACAACCGAATGTCTCCTGTAAAGAATGTGCAGAAACAATAACTAAAGTTCTTAAAAAATTAGGACAGCCTGTTATGACTAATCTATATTACAACACGATTAAGATGCTACTCGAAAGAGTAAGCTCTGTTATGATTGATGAAGAGGCAATTAGGGTAGGTATTTTATTTTTGAAAATCTTTTTATATTTTTTTATTTATGAAGAAACATTCAACATATACTATTCCTATATATATATATATATATATATATATATATATATATATATATATATATATTTATATATTTATATATATTTAAAATGTATGTATGTATGTATATGTATATAAATTTTTTTAGGTTTTGATAGGATATGTCTTGGATTGTTTGAAAGGAGGTAACGTAATAGAAGAGGTCGGCCTTAATCCAAATAATGCCGGCGAAAAAGGATTAAGATTATTAGTGGTAAATTGAATTTTATCTTCTTAAATCTGAATATTTATAAATAAATTCAAATTTGTAATAAATTAAACTTATAATATTTTATAATTAGAGGCATACATTATTTGAAATATTTTAGATGTTGTCATTTGTATTTGGCCCACATTTCTTACATAACGATATCTTAATGCAACTGGTCAATTTGCTCGAGTTAGAAGACGAAATGGTTGCACCACTAGTTCTGTCCATCTTCACGTTTTTGGGAAAATACAAACCTTTATGCGATGTAGCACCGGATATCATGAATCTTATGGTGCCAATATGCAAGAACTTCGCGGAAACAGGAACACCAAAGCAGGCAAAACAGGCCGTGAGGTGTTTATTCGTTAACATGACCAATATTCACGACACCATCTTCCCCGAGATCATCGAGAGAATTAAGAATACACTAACACCGACATCGGAATATTATCGAACGTCTATAGTCACGTTAGGTCACATAGCATATAATTTGCCAGACAAATATCAAATACAAATAAAAAATATGGTTTCCAGGAAAGTAAGTGA